TCCTCAACATTTCCTTCAAGGATTCAGGCAGAAAAAATGATATAAATTAAATCTATAGAATAAAAATCAAATCAAAAACTTGTCGAATCATGCAATCATATAAATTTATTCCATCAAATGCCATTCACTTATGCAAGAAATGCAGCATGTAATCATTTAAAACAAAATTTGACTCGTAGATCTCTCAAGTTGTTGTCGATCTTCCATATACTATAGGTTATACACACAGGGCATCACAGGAGTAGATGATGTCGGTGCAATCAGTATTATTGGTATACTAGAACAACTAATAGCTCAATCATCAGCCCTATTTGTTGATCTTCTATTATAAGCTCTCGAACCTGTAATCCTTTTGTCCCCCAATCTGCCTTGAGTGTCCAGCTCTTAAATTAGTTCTTCCTTTCTATGAACAATACACTGCCTTATATCATTGTTGTCCACATCAAAAACATTATCCTATTAAAAGGTAGCACAGTCCTACGTGTTTACTTCCACAATGGACACATTCACTGTAGCTGTGACTATCGGTAGATGCTATCGATCCATATCCTCTCGACTCATTATATCTACTTTTCTCTGCTTACCTCAGCTCAAGTCCTCCTACTACTAATGCCTAGAACTCACGTCGTACCTAGATATTGGTACTGCTAAATCAAACTTCATCAATCGCCCACTTCACTAACTCAGAAAACTCTTGAATTCATAAAGGTACTAACAAATATCTCAATTCCCTATTCAATCCTTGTAGAAATATGTTGCACTTTCTTTAGCGGTTAGAATTAAGTGAGTGTACCTTGTCAATGCAGTTAACTCAGCTTCATACAGCATCACTATCTTTTATACAGCATCATTATCTTGCATCCCTGTTTTAACTTAATGAATGCTTCTTGTATCTCTCGTCGATCTAATGAAAGTATGAACCACATCCTGAACATTGTGGCAAATTCGTCCCAAGTGATCTTAGCAGTGGCCTTCCATCGAAATTTCTCTTTATTGTACAATCCACCATCTCTCAGCCTCTCCTTCAAAAAGAAACAGTGCTAATAACAATTTCCTTGTTTATGAATACTGCAAGCTATCAAAGATCTCCTCTATTCTCAATAAACCTTCTACAGCCTGAGGTCATATAAGTCCATTGAAGAGTGGGGGCTTCAGCTAGTGAAATGTCTGCAAATGTCTACCCCCCTCTTTTTTTCCTTGCTTTCAGATAGATTGCTTTGTGTATCTTCCATTACCTACAAAAGAACACTATCTAGCTACATAATAGTGTGTGACAGTACCAGAGTTGTACTATGTTGCACATTTGGTATATCATGCTCTGGCAGCTCCATTGCAACTATTCACTTTTGAACGTTCTGTCAAATTTGAATAATTCACACATGTAATCAATTGTGTATGCAAAACAATGTACCTTTATCTATCTAATTTATCCAACTCATGACCAATTCTTAGAGCTCTGATAACAATTCAATCAATTTTTTTAACAAATATGCTCTGATATCAATTGTAATACCCTAGAATCTAATTTGGAAGAAATGTTTTTTAATTAATAATAATCAAAGCTATATAATCTCTTTAATCAGTATAAATATCATCGAAAATAAAGCTATTGATCAAACATCAATATGCATTTATATTCATTTCTCCCAAAAAATCATATACAATATTAAAAAATCAAATAATCATAATATATCCTTCAATTCATGAATACAAAAGAATAAATAAAATAAAAAAGAATTGAACTTGAGAAATATTAATCAACCTCATACTCTTGAACCTCTTCCCTGACCTAAAATTATTTAAATCATATATAATGAGCTAAACAGTCCAACGTGTCACTAAAATTCTATAACTAAACTCAAAGCACAGTAAAGAAGCAATATGCATATTATCAATCAATTAATAAATCTATACAAAAATAGCAAAGCATACATGCATTAACAGTAAAATTTGTAAAACAGTAAAAAGGTACGGTAGAGAAGCCAATAAAATAGTACAATATATAAACCAATATAAATATCTAATCAAATCAATAAAACGGTCATTGCAATTAATCAGTAAGAGAATCATATACACTAGTAGAACCAAAACCTTAATGAAGAGCGTAGAACCCATATCAACACTATTAAAAAAAATCGCTTTTCTACCTCAATATATCTTATATTTATCTTGCATCGCATACTTTATCGCATGCTCAATAGTTAAATAATAGTGAATCATGAATTGATAATAATGACAATATCAATATCCATAAAACCAGTGATTGATAAACAGTACAATATAAGAAGCCATATGATATCAGTTTAATAATATGCATTTCAGGAATCATATCCACTATTATTCAACAAGGAGTGTTGGTTATCAAGGTGTTTTTCTAGTATTTAGAAATCGATAATCGGTAATCGACAATTGTTTGCTCAATAAACAGCGTCATCACTCATTGCCCGTCAACACAGTAAAAACTTCTTATAACCCTCAATCATTGCATCGTTGTATCACGTGAATCACTATAAGATAACACAAAATCATTATATTTAAAGAAAAGCCAATCAACCCACCATCCTGTATAGGTCTATCATTCTTCAATCAACGGGTCAACCAGGCTTTATTTGTTTCACACACACGTATTATTATTTTTACATTATTAATAGTAATAACGACCATTTATTACTCAATTAGATATCAATATTAATTTCTAATGCCTATTTTAACAATATTAAAGAAATTCGTACAAAATACCTAAACTTTTATTATATCCGAGGAAATTCAAAAATAACACAGTCAAAATATCTAGAATATTCAATACATTAACAATATTCAATACATTATAAAAGTTTAATAAAATCGGAGATATATAGTAAAATTAGTTTTGAAGAGAACTTAGTGGTCAAAATTGAATCTTTGAAAACATAAATAAGATTAGAGTTATCTATCTCAATTTGAAAAATTTTCATAAAAGCAGTGAAGTAATCCGGAGACCAAAAATCTAGGTTTCTCTTTCACTTTCCTTCCCTCCCCTTTTCTCGTTTCTTCTCACACAAGCCAGAGCTAGCTGGGGGAAATGAGTGACGATGAGTGGTAAATATTATATAAAAATGATTTTTAGTTCTTAGGGACGCAACGCCACCTCACAGCGCTGCATGCCAAAATCAAAATTATTATGCAAACATATGCTTCAATGTCGCGGCGGCCATTCTGGGCACAATTGCGCTCATAAACCTAGCGCCTCGCCACTACGCTGTAGTTCAAACAAAAATTCAAGTTTTTGCCTGTATTTAAAAAAATTCATTTTAGAAATTCTAGTTATTACAAAGTGTATCCAAGTCTTGAGGGTAGTAGACTCCATGATCCGCTAATTGTGATAGGATAAGAAGGAAACCCTTTAGAAAGATCCATTCCTACAGCTTCGATGACCAATATGGTTGACGACATTTCACCTTTGGTAGTGGATTGGATTCAATGGGAGCTTCGCATCGAGGTTTGGGGGTTCTCATTATGAGTGGTCAATGAGAACCCATGGCTTTACCATTGGAGGTGACTCCCCTCTAACTATTCAATCAAGTTATTAGTTAATAAGCCTCAAGCGAGCTCTTATTCCTGGAGGTCCATGAGGCATGAGTTCACCTGCTATGACCCACTGCTACTTGTTAAATACCTGAAAAAGTACACGCGTGTAAAAATTTTTTTTTCGTATTTCCTATGGTTTCCACAAAGCTGAAGTTGGAAAAAATAAACTAGAAACTGAAACCCTATGGTTGCATTTATAAATCATTTTACTTTTAACACTATGTATGGTATGCCTCATCATTTTGTTCAGGCATCCATTCTTCTCACAGTGTAGCCCTATTAATAAGCCCATAAGGAATAGGTCGGGCTCAACTAGCCAACTAACCACTTGTGGTAAGGCATGATTTCTACAATGCCATTATGTAACTATCCGCGATCCCAATTCCCAATGGCACTACAAATGCAACAGATTCACATGGCACTCCGGGCACAAAATGGTCCCTATCAAAGAAATCATATCTGCTTGAACTCTCCATTGAGACAGCCATTGATCAATTAATATACAATGCTCAGCAACTAGCACAATCAAACCTAATCACTTCTGATTCAATATAATTATTTCACAATAGCTCGATTATATCTTTTGCAAAGCATAAAAACATCCAAGATGCACAAAAGATCGCAACAGCTTATTTATACTTCTTGACAGCATTTGATGGAATATTATACAAGAGAGAAAAAGAAAAGGGTACAGACTGCAATTCAATTTTTTTTTCAAGCATCAAACCCGAAGTTGTCACCCACAGACATAAAGCCCAGGAAAGAAAGAAGACAAAAGAAACCTGCAGGAATAAGCTGTGACAACTTAAAAGTTGGGATAAACCGGAAAAAGATACGGATGACTTAACTATGAAGCACCAAAAAGCTAATTGTTAGAATGGTACCTTGGTACCAATCACACATACTTCTGCAGTTTTTTCACCATGGCATTTGATTTCTAAGCAGGGAAAATTAGTTTTTATGTCAATTTATATCAGGATTTAATTCATTTATAGGTTATCAATTAAGCAAACCAGGTGCCAAAATTTCATTAAAAGAATAACATTCTTATACACCATGCCAGCTGAAGTTCTCTCCTAGAGTTCTAATAACTATTTGTAATTTTAAACGAGGCATTTTGTACAACTGGAATTGATTCATTCTAATCCTGAATAGATTCACACAAGAATTAGATGAGTTACGCAACTAAATGTTTGTCCATTCTAGAAGCACATACAATTTTTTTTAGAGAACTGACAACTAATAACATTAGAAATCAAAAACAATTTCCTCAACAAATTGAACTAATCAACATAATAACAAATTTTATTTATGTCCAGAACAGCATAACTAGGATCAATGCTAAATAGATGTTGTACAATTAATTTTAAAATATACCAATTAACTAAACATATCAGTTAGTCATTACAGAATTAGAGTAAAATAGTTGCTACCTTTCTGTGAAATCTTTATTAATATCTGAAAAATCCTCTCCGAGCCTATCTGAGGGTTGCCCAGTTACAATTTTGTAACCGCAGAGACTGTTCGTAGAGTTTGGCGTCTGCATTGCTGACATGTCAGGAAGGCTATGTAAAATAAAATAACATTGCATTTATGATGTAAATAGAAATAAAAGTCTAAGAGAGAAACCTTATGAGCTAAGTGATGAAAAGTGTATAGCAAACACTCAACATAACTAAAATTAGTCTCTTCAATTTTTCTCCGAGGCATATAAGTCTGCGTTAAACAGAACAAAATTAACAAAAAAACAACAAATTTTTAAAGCAAACAATGGGAAGTCACACAAGGAACTCAAAATAGAATTATTAAAATATTATAGGAAAATAATAAGGTAGCCATGGCAGCTTAATGGCAATATATGGATACATGTCATAATTATTTGATAAGTTTTATGCTGGCAATTGACTACCTAATACAAACCTCTATTTTTTTCATCCAGGATTTGAGACCTAATAATGGCACTGTTTTACATTTTAAGGAACTTGAAGAATTTACCTTTTTGTGGTTTGGTACAAATACCGCTAAGAGATACAGTGCTTTAATGATATTATTGAAATTGTTTTGTTAAGAATTCCAAATGCTTTCTGCTAAATGGACTTGACTTTGTGAAGCTTTGTGTTTTTCAAGAGCGTAATGTTGACACAGTTGTCCTTTTTATCTACAGTGATGTGGAAACTTCCAATTAATTATTTTTCTAGAACATCTCCTTTTAGCATCATATTTCTTACAATGTCAACATGTTCTTTTCTTCAATTGTCATTTAGAAATTCAGAAATTTAATTAGTTGGGGTGATAACTATTAAATGTAAATTGTGTATTGTTTATAGTATTTAAATTCAGTGAAAACATGTTTTAGTTGTGTTTGTATAGAAAATATTTAGGAAAAGGCAAAAAATTCATTAGTGATGAACCAACGCCATAGCGTTCCAATTACCAATTTCACAATGTATGCAATGCCTCGATGCCAGACTTGGGAATTGCAACGCCAACGTCTCGGGAAAAATGGTAAAGAATTTAGCGCTTTGGCGAAGCCAAGGTAAGCACTATAACGCTTCATTGCATAGCAGCATCAGAAATCCATGTTGCAGCACCAGAGCCTCGAGAATTTGAATGTCGGAATGTCCATCATTATAACACTGCAACACCGAATTGCACATTCAAACACCGCAACGCTCAACTTTTGCAGTGCCACGGAGGAGAGATAGATGAAAGACGAAGCCGCACCGATTCAACAAAATGCCCCCTTAGAATAAAATTTAAAGGAGGCTAAAGAAGTGTATGATACTTTCATTAGAGATCTTAGCTTATCTTATGTAAGAAATCCTAACATTAGAGGAAACAGTGTGGAGAAGTCAATTGTACTATCCTAGTGAAGTTTTTCCTAATTATTTCTCCTATATCTTTTCTTCTATGAGTGAAATGAAAATGTGTTTGCTTTCTAATTTATCCATGTCGAGCTAATTTCTAAGTTTTGGACTAATGATGTAAACACAATGCAAGTATAAATGTAGACTCTCATACCTTAAATGAAATTATGAATGTTTTCAATATCTCTCGTTCTTATTTTAATACATACAATGGTCATGTATATAGTTAATATCTAGTGTGATATATTATCTCAATGATTAAATAATATTGGAATAAATATAAGTATTGGTGAATGTTGGCATGTTTAGTCATAGGATGTTAAATATTCTAGGTTCTATAGAGACAATAAAATTATATGAAGATTTTGAATCTTTCATTTCGCCCCTACAAACTCGACAGAGATCTTTAAATGCATATGCTCTAATCCACATCAACATTTAAGAGTCTCATTAGAAAAAAAATTATTGTTTTATAAACATTAGTCCAAAACATATTTTGTATATTGGTATCGCATCATCTATTTGCAATCACTATTAGTGACAGAAATCTATATATGTAATTAGTTCATCTTGTTTAGTAGAATGAACTGTGCATCTGTAATAAACAGTACTAGTTTGATTGCAATCTAGCAAAACATTTTCTCGTGAGTTGATACTGACGTAATCACTTTATTACTTAATCGACACACGTATCTAGTGAGCAATTTCATATAAAAAAACTATGCTTATTCATAATCATACATATACTATTACATAGCAAGAACAAGTACAAGCCATCGCGTAGCCCCGCACAAATTTTTGGCATTATTGCTAGGGAAGTAACGTGTGTATTGCAATTTTAAACTATATTGTTGAAACTAGTGCATATTTAGACTTGTATCATGTATCTTTATTTTTGCAATTTTTGTTCAAATTTTGAAAAAGATAATTTATTGTTTGTTTAATTTTTGTTCTTTACTTTTTTAGTTCATTATTGTTGCATGTTGTTGCCATATTCCAAGTCCTGGATGAGAAAAGTGGAGGGTTGCGTTAGGTAGTTGACAGCCAGCGTAAAACTTTTCGAATAATCATGACATGAATCCTTTAAAAAGTATAGTGGGCAAAGGCTTGATGTTGTTGTTGTTGTAATGTTGCATGCATAGTTGATCTAATAAGGAGCCATTCTTGTATAATTATAAGATTGAAAAGACCTTACAAAAATCTGAAAGAAAAAAAATTTACAAATGTCTGAACAAGTACAAGATCAGGACCATCCTAGATCCTTTAGGGAATATGTTAATCATGAAGTAGAAGAAATCTATAAGAGTATTAATAAACCTATTATTCACATCAATAAATTTGAACTGAAACCTGTCATAATTCAGATAATTCAAAATTTTCAATTTGGGGAAACTCCTATGGAGAATCCCAACCTGTACTTAGCTAGCTTCTTAGAAATCTGTGCAACATTCAAGTGCAATGATGTCGGCAATAATGTGTTGTTAAACTTCGATTGTTTTCATTTTCTCTAAGGGACAAAATTAAGATGTGGTTGAACTTCTTGCCCCCAAGCTTTATAATCATTTAAAATGAGTTAGCACACATTCTTTGCTAAGTATTTCCCATTTTCGAAAACTACCAAGCTTACAAATAATATCAAATCTTTCGCACAATTTAAAAGAGAGTCAATTTATGATACAAAAACAACAACAGCAAGCCTTTATCCCACTACGTGGGGTCGGCTATATGAATATTTTTTCTCCATTATGTCTTATTAAAAATCAAATTCTCGTTTAAATCTAAAAAAGAAATATCATTTCTAATATTTTCTAGCCAAGTCTTTTTAGGTATGCCTCTAACTTTCTTAACATAAGTCAAATCTAATAGCTCTACTTTCCTAACCGGATCATCGGAAGGCCGCCGTTTTATGTGACCAAACCATCTAAGTAGACTCTCTCTAATCTTATCTTCTACTGGAGCTACTCCAACCTTTTCACGTATATGCTCATTCGTATCCTATCTCTAAGAGTAAATTCACTCATCCACCTAAGCATCCTCATCTCTGCCACACTTAACTTAGTATTATGCTTCACTTTAATGCCCAACATTCAGCACCATAAAGCATTGTAGGCCTCATCACCATCTTATAGAATTTTTCCTTAAGTTTGAGGGGTACTTTTTTTATCACACAACAAGCCCGATGTATTCCCCAACTTCAACCATCCAACTTGAATTCTGCTGATGATATCCCCATCTATTTCACCATCACTGTGAACAATTGATCCAGGATATCTAAAACGTGTACTCTTACTAATGACTTGATCGCACAAAGTCACAATCCCCTCACTAGGTCTATTATTACTAAAATTACACTCCATATATTCCGTTTTAGATCTACTCAATTGAAAACCTTTAGACTCTAAGGTTGACCTCCATAATTCAAGTTTACCTTCAACTCCCTCTTTAGTCTTATCAACAAGAAGAATATCATCAGCCATAGTTTAAAATTGCGTAATTAGAGTTGCGCCTCTGCACAATTTTGTCCCAAATAGCCTCATTGCTTAAGCTTTTTTGGTTCTTCGTGAGGCGTACGCCTCTGTGCATGTGAGGCGCGCCTTTGAGGTTGAATTGCCCAATTCAGAGAGGTGCACGCCTCTTGTAACCGGGTCCCACACACTTAAGTTCTATTTGAAATAAGCTATCTTCCTCCCCTCTTATTTCTGCATGCTCGAAATCGAACGGACAAAGCCACGCCGCACGACTCGATCCGCTCGGCATCCCTTCCCGCCGGCGTCGCCTCACTCAGATGATCTTGTAGTGTCCGGCCGCTCTCTAGGAGAACTCCAGTACTCCACTACCGATTTTAGGTTTTTTTTTTTAGTTCAAGGAAATATTTTTCAAGTGAAAGAAAATTTAGGTTATTTATTTCTTGAGATTTTTTGTTTGTTTTCGCATTTGTGCAATATGAAACATGGTTAGAGGCAAGGAAAAGGCAAATATGTCATTGCGGTGTGACCCTTCTTTGAAATACAGTGTGCAAGTTGATGTAGGAGGCGGCGAGAAGACATGTGTATTTAAAATGCAATTTTTTTGATAAGATGGTGAAGGGAGGAGTTACTCACATGAAGGAACACTTATTCGGCTCACATAAAAATGTAACACCTTGTGCGAATGTTCCGGATAAGATGAATGAAGAAATTATAGCTTATATGAAAAGGAGTAGAACGGTCAAACATTTACAAATATGAGCAATTTGATGAAAGGGTTGAACATGGTGCTTGCTTCGGGAGCGAGAGTGGAAACGGCTCTTCCTCCACTATACATAATAGAGCAATTTTGCGGGTCCTATAGATCAGTATATGACTAACCCAGGAGAGGATAGAGGACAAGTACAGATAATGACTGCGGCTGGTACCAGAGGGGTCGACGTCAGGTTTGCGTGAATATTGACAGATTTGTTTTTTGAGAATGCCATACCATTTAATGTTGTGACATCGCCGGCCTACTTCAATATGTTGCGATCTGTAGGGTTGTATGGGAGAGGGTTGAAGGCACTTTCCATGTACGAGTTGTGAACATGGATTTTGAAGGAGCTGCAGAACATAGAGTATTGATGATATTAAACGGATATGGAGTGAGACAGGAATTATCATTATGTCAGATGGATGGTCTGACATGAAGAGCAGGAGCTTGATTAATATCCTTGTAAATAATCCCTACGGCACGGTGTTTTTACGATTAGTTGAAGCTTCAGATGAGGTTAAAAATGTTGAATTCATTTTCAATTTACTAGATGAGGTTGTTGAGGAGATTGGGGAGCAATTGGTTCTTCAGGTTGTGACTAACAATGCCAGTGCATATAAAGCAGCTGCTCAGATGTTGATGGAGAAGAGGAAACATCTCTATTGGACCCCCTGCGCAGCACACTATATCGATCTCATATTGGAGGAACTTGGTGATATACCTCAACACAAGAGCGCCCTTTATAGGGCAAAGAAGATCACAAAATTCATCTACAACCACTTACGGGTCTTAACCTTAATGAGAAAGTTTTCAAAGAAGGAAATCACTCTCCCTGCTACCACTAGGTTCATTATTACATTTTTGCACTCCATATCATTTTCAATTCCTAATGCAAGTTTATTCCACATATTTGCCACATCTTATTTGACACTCCAAAGCATGCTAGATGTGAGACAACCTCTTGAAGCATTGTTTACATCGACACAATAGCTTAATTCTACCTGGGGGAAGAAACCTAAGGGGAAAGAAATACGAAGGCTAATTCTAAATGATAAATTTTGGGCTAGTGTGATCTATGACATATTGAGCACGAGAACCTTAGTACAAGTTCTACGTTTAGTGGATGTCGAGAAGAAACCAGCCAAGGGTTTTATATATAATACAATTGATGAGGCAAAGGTGTTGATTGCACATAACTTGGGAGGAGAGGAGGCAAGTTATAAAGAGATTTGGGATATCATTGATGTTCGGTGGGATGTCCAGTTACACCGTCATCTACATGCAGTGGCGTATGATCTCAATCCTCAATTTCAACATTCAGAGAGGAAATCCTCAAATCCAAAGGTGAAGCTTGTCTTGTATCATTGCATGAAACGCTCGGACCAAACCGTCAGGGAGCTAGCAGATTTAGAACTTGTTCTATTTCGGAATAGGGAGAAATTTTTTGGTCTGCAAACAAGAAAATCTACTATTGCTAAACGCTCTCCAGGTATACATATTTTTGCAAAGTATCTGTATATGCATAAAACTTAATATGTTCTGATTATCATTTTTCTTGAAAATAGTTGAATAGTGGATCCAATTTGGTGATTCCACCCCTGAGTTATAGAGTTTTATTGTTAGAGTTTTGGGCCTCACTTGTTCTTCCTCTAAGTGTGAGCGAAACTGAAATACATATAGTCAAGTGCAAACGAATAGAAGAAATAGACTTTCACTTAGAATAAACTTCTTTGTGTATATCATGCACAACAAGAGGTTGAGAGATAGGAGGTTGAGGAACAAGGGGTTGAAGGATGATGAGGACCCGTTGGTGTGTGACGATGTGGCGTCTAATAATGAGTGGTTCATAGATAATGAGACAGATTTGCCATTATCAGATTTGCAGCTAGAGGATCTAAGTGTGGATGTCTTGAGGGTCGAAGCAAATCAAGTGGGCACATCCAATAGTACCACACCACACACATCCACTAGTTTTGCTGCACAACAAGCAAATAATGATATTCCATAACTTCTTATGTGCTATTACATTATATATATACATATATATATATATATCAAGTAGGCAATTAACATGACAGTAATCATTCTTATTGAACAAGGAAGAGAAAAGTGAGTAACATTGAAGATGATGAAGATATGACATTCATAAATACAATTGAAGAAGAAGATTACCTTGAAGACCCATTTAGTGATAGGAATGATTTGATTTAATATGTTCTTTATTATTTGTACTTTGGGAGTTTTGATAGAGTTATATGTTGTGGTTCTGTACTTTGAATTATACTATGCGATGCAAGTATTGCATCTATTTTATTGTTTTCCACTAATTTCACTTGTTATTTAGATATTTTTATTGAATGATAGACTCTTACTATTATTTACTTGCTAAAACCCTTAAATTCTCATTTACGCAATTTTTCGTCCGTGAGGCTTACGCCTCACCTCACGGACAAAAAACACATCGAGGCTTATTTACACAATTTTAAACATTGTCATCAGCAAAAAAACATACACCAAGGTACATCCTCTTGCAAATGTCTAGTGAGAGCATCCATGACTAAAGCAAAAAGATATGGACTTAAGGGTGATCCTTGATGTAGCCCAACCGAAATAGGGAAATACTTGGTCAAACCACCTTGTGTTTGAACACAAGTAATAGCTCCTGCATATATATCTTTAATGATTTGAATATAAGCATTATTAACTCCTTTCTTTTCAAGAACTCTATATAGCACTTCTCTTGAAACTTTATCATGTATTTTCTAAATCAATAAATATCATATGAAGATCCTCTTTATTTTCTCTGTATTTCTCCATCAAACCTCTTAATAGATGTACGTCTTCCATAGTTGACCTACCCGGCATGAATCAAATTTATGAAAGTTGGAAAAGATTTAAGAAAATAGTTAGAAAATGTCATCACCATGGTATGATAAGATCCCATAGATTGATTATAAATGCAGCTGCTGAATGATCTTTAATGACTAAGTCATTTGAGAAACCCTATGAATTAATTGAGGAAATGACTACAAATAATTTTTAATGGCCTTCTGATAGGGTGAATTCGAAAAAGTAACAAGTGTTTATGAATTTGATGTTTATCCATTTTGAATACTCAAGTAACTGTGATTTCTAAAAAATTGGTCACTATTGAAGTTAGTTCAACATCACAATAATCTATGCAATTTGAAGAGTGTGATTTGAATTTCTAAGTGATAATAATACTCTAAGGATTGAGAATGTGAATTTGATTGGAAGATAAAAGAATCTATATTCTAATACATATAATCCAAGTTGGAGGAACAACCTTAATTTTAGTTGGTCTAATAATAATATTGATGTTAACCTACCATAATGTAAGGCAGTTATTTTTAAGACTTCACAGATTGTTTAAATTAATAAATCCTTTTTATCTCTAATTATCATTTGGAGATTGATTCCTACATGAATTTTCCCTTCATATGTGAAGTTCTTGCAAATTTCAAGCATAACGGTTGACAAAGTGCTAGTGGAAATGTGCGTGCCCAATTCAGTCATTGATCTCTTTTCCCTAAGATATTTATGTAATCATATATGTTCTTTCTTCACTCAATATCTAGTTCTTGTCTATGATTATGAGATTGGAATTATTCAAATCTTCCAGGGTTCATAAATTTGGTGAAATTTCAATACTTGTGATTTTACGGCTGTTATTTGTAACAATAAATAAATGATTGTGCTTGATAGATTGCTTTGAGTTTGCATTATAGTAGATCATCATTGCAGTTAAACCCCCAAAAAAATTACATTTGTAAAAAAAAAACTCTATGCATTGGTATGCCAAGCATCATCTATTCATACTAGCGCATAAATATAAAAAACAAACAAAAGGAAGTACACACAAATAACTTATAACATAGATATTTGCAAAAACATTTTGCAACAAATAGTAGCTACTTTATAAGAGCAAGTAATATGGTATTTATTCATATCACACCAACAAGCCTACATACAAACAGTACGGCCCCTGGTTTCCAAGATATTGATCTCATGTTCAATATAGGATGGACTCGATATAAGGAAATTCCATTGCTAACTACAGGGATTTAAAAAGCCTTAACTAATCTCGAGCCCGACTTATCTTAAATAAAAATATATGGGATAAACTTATATTCTTTTAAATAAACACAAGCATATTATCTATATATATAAGATAATATGTTTGTGTTTATTTAAAAGAATGTCTTTGAAACATAATGTTATCCCCTTTGAAATTATAAAATAGCCTAACATTTTTGTTTAGCAGAATGAATGTCAAATTAATCTTTTAAAATTATAAGGATGATAAAAAGGTTGTGTATCAGACATGCTATCTTTGCAGTATGGTAGAAACTAGAAACTAAAGTATCGGATATGAATAGAAGCCCTTTTAAAAGAGTATCCACGTCAGTGTGTTAAGATTAAGTTCACTCACACATTGCAAGAAGTTTCTAGGAGGGTGCAGAATAGGGATTGGACATACACATGCACACAAATAGAATAGAAAGAAAATTCAATATGATTAAAGTAGCCCGAAAGCCAAGAAGTTTCTTCAGATATCTAAAAAGAATTAAACAAAAATAAGTTAGAAAAAAAGGCTCTGTGGTGAAATATGCATACCTTTAACAGCTGAACAATTGCTGGAAGAAGCTGACGTGAATCCTGTGCAGTTGCGTAAGGTGAACTTCCAGCAAGACTCTTAAGAAAATCAAGCTTTCTCTCTTCAGGAAGCTGACAAAAACAATTAATATTACAAAGAAAATTATCATATTTTGATCGGAAAGATGAAAAATGTTGAAAGTACTTTGATGGAACATAGGACAAAATAGTTAAAACGAAATCTGAAAAAAAATTGGCACAAAAGAAAGAAAATTAAAGTAATCTCTTAGCACAACATGCGTAAAGAATATTAATTTATAAGAATTTGACTCTTAACAAGACACAATGGAGAAAAAGGATTCCTATAGCCGACCCCACATAGTGGGGGATGTTGTTGTTGTTGTTGTTATAAAGAATATTAATATTACAGAGGCAGCACCAAAATTTGGTTATGAACAAGCTCAATTTCCAAGACAGTGCAACTCATAACTCGTAACGTTGGAACAAGCTAGCCAACTCACAAATACAAACATTACATGCATATTATTTAAAATCAATAAACAGTTTTGTAGTTCTATTATGATGCACTAAATCAGTAAGTATTTGAGTGTCCTTTAATACAGCCCAAGCTTTTCACCACCGCCATAATGCTATTTTTTAGCAACTCCAGGCTATCGTTTTATAATGTTATGATGATGCCTTATATTAATAAAGTATTTGACAGTCCTTTAATACAGACCAAACTTTTTACTGCTTTCTCCAATAACAACTCCCATTTTGCTAGATACTAATGAACATAAGGGATTGCACATTGGTGATCTGGATTGACTTAATAGACACAAGAGATACATCAGAAAACTTAATCCCAAAAACATCTCTTGCAGGAAGAATGAAATTGTGCTGGCACCTTGAATTTCTTTAATAGGCTGTGGTGTCACAGGCTGGGGAGCAAGGATAACAGAAATTTAGTTTCAATCCATGCCGTTCATTTTGGTTTTTTTTTTTTTCCTATGGATGCTAATGGTGATTAGCTAAATGGCACATATTTTGTAGTTAACCAAGAGAGAGAGAGAGAGAGAGTCATGCAAAACATAACATTCAAAATACTTTTTTTTTCCAGAAAGGCATGATTTCAAGTATCACATCTTTAGACAAGACAAAAATAAGAACAGAGGCCGATAAGTTCCAATAACAAAAATCACTAGTAGCATAAAGGCTTCCAAGAAAGTCAGATCCAAAGAGGCAATAAATTCTTAACAGGCTTTTCTTAGTTAGACTGAATGGATTACAGTAACATCAATGAGAAACATTGGCGGTTTTGTATATTCTGCGAGAAGAAAGATCAATGATTTATAGTTTGCAGCTTCTTGATGTGACCATGAACGATAGCAAGTTAATTTACCAGTCACATGTGTAAGTTACAACAGAATGATAATAATAAACCAAAGAAAAAAATAAAATTTGTAGAATATAAAGAAGACAGTAATCCAAAATAGAAAATATTAATTATTTATTGAAAGATAATAATCTGTTCACCTTGTCAAAAACAGGTATTATGTGTTTGTTGAAATAATTAATGAACCTGCTGCTTGAAGCTCCTCTCTGTACAAATTATAACAGTACAGAATAAATATTTAAGAATGCGGAAAAAATTAAATGATAATATAAGAAGTCGAATCATTTACCACAAAAATTGGTAAAGCCATGAACATGCAGGAAATCATCCTATCTATGTGGTCAACATCTGAGACCTGCACCATAAAAAATAATGCCAGTAAGCCATGTTCGTTGGCACAAACAGAAAACCAGAGCATAATGTCTCGCTCAAAATTATAAGATACAGCAACGAACAATATAGTATTCACGAAATCAAAAGAGTTTCATATTCTCCATTGCAGATATTCTCAATATATAAATATCTTAAATGCTCCTGCAAATTTATATTCTCCCATAAGCAAGGGTAACATTAGTAAGGAGAGTATCAGTGATAGGAACAAATCAGTAGTAGCAATAAGGGATTTGGGAAAATTATGATGCAGTGTTAGGGTAAGATTTGAGGCATCATTTGTAAGATCCAGATTTTAAGGTATGTGAAAATTTAAATTTAAGTAATTTTATTATGAAATTTATTTTAAGTATAAGCATTAATTAGTTAATATAAATTATTGTTAATAAAAAATTTATTTTAAGGAAATAATTATTTAACAATAAATAAATTGAGCAAATGATTTAAGTATGAAAGGATGCATACTTTGGCTTTATACCATCTAAAAGCTGAGATTTAATGATGAATTCGGTAATTAGTGTGTGGTCCATCTCTATCTTATTTCCCTCTAAAGTCACGGCTAGAAAATCTGGGAGTTTTGTTCGGCATAGTGACCTCGAATTTCCTGTAGCAGTTTCGGTACTCAGGGCGGGATTGACTTGGCAGAATTTCGTATAGCAAAAATCGGAGGAATTAGGGCAACTCCAATGGAACGGCAAACAAGTGTTTGCCATCCTTCCTTTGCTCCAACCGAACACCAATGCTTACGCCATTTGATTAGGGATGAACAGTGCGATGCCAATATTGGCATAGCACTGTTCATCCGCCATTTGTTTTTTTTTTTTTTTTAATTCTAAAATTAATTATTAATTTTAAAGATTCAAGTTTAGAAACTTTTTATTACTAATTAAAATAATAAATTAGAAATATCTTATTTTTTTAGAAATCTAAATATTTTTTACATAATTAATTAATTTAAGTTGCAACATTAAGATAAAAATCAAGATAAACTTCTCATACATAAAAGATATCGAGAAGTACAGTAACAAAAAAAATCAAAATAAAAGATACCAAAATATTTTTTTATAATTATAATAGATTTAATACAAAAATTCGATACATAAAATTTATGATTAAAAATATAAAAAATGAAATATGGGAAAGAATATACTAAGAACGTTCTTTTTTTGGTGTTAGAAAATGGAGTTTGGTTGGAGACAATTTACTGCATTTTGATGTATTACTGCATTTTGGAGTGAAAAATGAGTTTTTCAATTGGAGATGCCCTTAGGAAGAAAAAATTACTGTAGCAAATTTGCTACAATGCCTGCGATATGGTAGCACAGAGGAAATCTATGCCGTTTGGGTAGGTGAGTGATAACAGTGAACAAAAATTGCTGTGGTAATTTGGAGGAGTAGATTAAGAGAGAAATAAGAGAGAAAGTAAAGAAAAAGGTAAGAATTCTAATATTAGTATTATCTTTCATATTCTCTAAATTCAGAAAAATGGCTAAAGATGATAACTTATTGGTATTATAGGATTATTCGTAGATTTATGCAGAAAGAAAGTTTTGGATTAGTTTATCAAAGGAGAATGCCTCGTGGTATAGAATCTGTAGAGTCAATTCGTCAGGAAGACAAGTTATGTAAAGTTAATTTATTGATTTCAGGTATATTTATCATGTATTTTAAATTGTTTGGAAATGCAATGCACTATGAATAATTGCATAGTAATCATGAGAATACATTGAAGTAATCATTTATAAGAAATTTTATGTTATGTAGAAAAACTAAAATTGAAGTCGATATATGATCAAGCATTGTGTTACCATCTTTTGATAATATGTTAAAGAAAGAAGTTTCATTAGTTCAGTAATGCATGTCAAATTCTTCTTGCAATACTTGTACGATTATATGAATGGTGATAGTTATGAATTATGAATACGCGGGTTACTAAATATTTACTTAGTAATGATTGGCAATTATATGTTATAATATCTATATTATCATGTGGGAAAAATGGACCCAGTATGAACCTTGTAATTTATATGAGGCAAAAGGACCCCAAGGAAATTGATATCTGCATAGCAGGTGAGGCAAAAGAGACCCCTAAAGAGACAAAAGGGACCTCTATGAAATTCAATGGCGATAATGTCAGGTATACCTGGGCTCCATTGAATATGTTTATGAAAGGATAGCCTAATCGTTTAAAAGACTAAATATTCAATATCTATCTCAAATGACATAAAGGGTGATGTTTAATATGATGTTTATTATGTTTTATACATAATGATAAGTTGATTCAATGACTAGCTCAATATTGTAATTCATTTTATCATTGCATTTTTTATTGTTATTTAATTTTGCATAACTTATGGAGCCTCCTAGCTCACCGGTATTTTCTTATTGGATGTTGTTACATGAAAGGAAAGGAAAAAGTGTGAGAAGATTAATTTGTAAGTATTTAAATTTTTATGTTAATAATTATCTTATTTATGAAGTCTACTCTTGAGGTTAATAAGCTGTTCAATGTTTTATTACTTTGGAATTAATTTAGTAGCTCTGTAAGTATGTCTTGTTGAAGTTTAAAAATTATTAAGTGCTACCGTTGATTACATAAATCTAAATTATTGATCTTTTATAAAGGTCTTCCAAATGATCCAAGTATTAGATGATTGATTGATGAAAATGTCATGTTTCTATTAGTAATAGTCCCAGTACTGTTAAGGGGTACTGTGGAGTGTTACATAATTAATTATGATTAAACCACAAATGCTCAATTAATTTTACTTAGTATCAAAAATGACCTTTGCATGTTGTCGGTGCAAAAGGTTGCAACTGGCATTTGCAGTACATTACTCCACAAATGCAAAGAGTGTCGATGCAAGTGTTGTCGAACATCATAATACTTTATGTTTGGCTTCAATAGCATGCTTTATTCAGTTTCCCTCTTAGACGTTTCACAAATAAAAGTTGAATTTGGTTTGCAAACACATTCTAGTTCTCAGTTTCAAAAGCATAGTCTTGCAACTTTGCTTCTCATTCCATTTTTTGTTGTTAGTAAGAGCATTGGTTTTCCTTTTTTTTTAACTCGATAACAATTTTAAGCTGATAACAATTTAAAGTACTTACCCATCACAATATATCTATGATTCATTGATCTTTACACTTTGAATCTTTGGATTCCTTTAGTTGTGATATCTCAACTTTGCCAGCTCAATTCTGTTTCCGTAGTACACTCACTCTATTGATGTGGATTTCCCTTGTATTATTGGTTGCCAATGATTGTGCATTCCTATCACTAGCTAACAGAGTAGCTCCCTTCATGACCTTCAAACTACAAAGACGAAATTTCCTTTCCTCTTGTTATTTGAATGATTCTCTAGTGTCCGCATACCACTTGTAGACTTTGCATATACATGACATATTCATAAGATGCTCTCCAAAATTACCTAAAATGTTTCAACTGTAGTTCCTTTTTTTTTAATTTAGGCTAAAAATTATCTAATTATATTTATCTTTTCTATATAGACTTTGAATATATATGACATATTTATAAGATGCTCTACCAAACATGTTTCAACTGTAGTTCCTTTTTTCTTAATTTAGGCTGAAAATTCTTTAATTATATTTTTTCTATTTATTTGAAAGCATATAAAGATTAGAGAATTGGGAATTCTTATTTAATCGTTCATAATGAATCTTCATAAAGATATGCATAAAATATCTCTGGAGTTTAATCTAATTTTTTAACTAGGTTTTTTTTTTTTTTTTACCTTTACTACTCAAAATGTTATAGTCTTATAGATCATTTCATAATTTCCATTAGTAAGAAGGTTATAGATAAAACAATATTATGTCATATTTCTCTAATATATGTGCTGCAATTAACTGAAACCCAAACTTTGCTTGCACCTCACTCTTAAAATTCGAAAAAAATAAACACTTTGTTTGTTGTGTTGCACCTTGTGTCTTGACAGCCATAATTGTACCAATTGATTTTTTTCAACAATTTTCAGCATGGCAGTAAAAATTTTAACTTCCATAAATAAACTATATTTATTGTATCCAATCATAGTTTTATGTTAGCCTGCATGCAGGGACAACAAGATGATATGATAGAGACATGAAATTTTTAGCAGTTAGTTTAAATACTTTGATGTTAATGTTCATAACATTGTCACTGCCATGGCATTACATAATCATGGGTGTTGTAGCTCTACAATCGATTACAATTTAGTCTGACCCCGTAGATCTAGGTTTAGTTACTGCCATTGCATTACATAAGAAGATTTTTCTTCTTTTGAATTTTTTTGTTTCTAGGGTCAAGACAAAGGGTACACCAATTGTTTAGATATTTCAATGCTACTGCATACACAAATTGAAATTGCTTTCTTCATGAATTGAAGATTGAAATAAATGTTTTGGAGTTCAACCGTAGTTCGCAAAAACTTAGAAAGTTGGGTGTTCTAAATTTATATGAGAGATTCAAGATTCCTATTAGGGTGAGGTTGTAGTTGTTACAACAAACAAATCTTTAATTACAACTCAAATTATCTCCTTCCACCTTGTCATCCCTCATAAAACCTTGTTCCCGACACCAAGACAAAACAAGAAGGAAATGCAGAGAAATCTCGTTAAATCCTTTCAGAATATTGTCAAACGGTCCAAAGGATTTTAAAGTAATAGAAAGACACCAAAAATTTTACAAGCTCAAGTTCATTTATTTAACAGAAAGTTAATATTTTGGTTACCTGTGCCATTAATTTCCACTTTAGAGAAAGCCACCAATCCTTCCACCAATAACTTAATAACACGATTGGGCATTCTAATAGAGAATCAAAATTCTAGAAATATGATACAAACTTATGAAGTTGGAATTATGTCAAGCTAAAGTTACTAATTTTAAAAGGAATTTAAATAAAACAATATAATATTAAGTGTTTTCACCCGCAAAAACAAGAAGCCTTTATCCCAGTATATGAAGTTGGCTATATGAATCTTTTTTCTCCATTGTATCCTATTAAGAGTTAAATTCTCATTTAAATCTACTAAATAAAGGTTATTTCTAATACTTCATAAAAAAGACTTTTAGGAATACCTCTTCCTTTTTTTAATATATGTCAAATCTAATACATCAACTCTCCTAATTGGATCATCAAAAGGCCAACGCTTTATATGTCTAAACCATCTAAGGCATCTCTCTCTAATCTTATTTTCCACTAAAGCTACTCCAACCTTTTTCATGTATATATTTATTTCGCATGTTGTCTCTAAGTGTAAAGCCACTCAATCACCTGAGCATCTTCATCCACCTGATTATACTCATCTATGCACACTTAACTTAATTTTATGCTTCTCTTATAACAACATTCGGTGGCATAAAGTATTATAAGTCTCACCACCATCTTATAAAATTTCCCCTTAAAGTTTGAGAGGTACTTTTTTGTCACACAACAGGCCCGATAAATTCCTCCACTTCAACCATCGAACTTGAATTCTACTAATAATATCCTCATCTATTTTAACATCACTTTGAACAATAGACCCGAGATATCTAAAACGTGTACTCTTTTTAATGACTTGATCACCTAAAGCCACAATCTCCCCACTTGATCTACTACTACTAAAATTACACTCCATGTATTCAATTTTAGATCTACTCAAACGAAAACCTTAGACTAAGATTGACCTCCACAATTCATGTTTTTTTCAACTCCCTCTCTAGTCTTATCAACAAGATTAATATCAGAAAAAAGCATACAACAAGGTACACCCTCTTCTAAATGTCTATTCAGAACATTTATGACTAAAGCAAAAAGACATGGGCCTAAAGCTAATCCTTGATGTAATCCAACTACAACAACATCAAGCCTTTATCCCACTATGTGGAATCGACTACATGATTCATTTTTCTTCATTGTGTCTTATTAAGAATTAAATTCTCATTTAAATCAAATAAAGAAAGGTCATTTCTAATATTTTCTAACCAAGTCTTTTTAGGTCTACTACTACCTTTTTTAACATAAGTAAAATTTAATACATCTACTTTCCTAACCGGGTTATCAGAAGGCCGCCGTTTTATGTGACCAAACCATCTAAGGCTACTCTCTCTAATCTTATCTTCCAATGGAGCTACTCCAACCTTTTCATGTATATGCTCATTTCGCATCCTATCTCTAAGAATAAAGCCACTCATCCACCTGAGCATCCTCATCTCTGCAACACTAAATTTAATATTATGCTTTTCTTTTAATGGCCAACATTCTGCACCAAAAAACATTGCAGTTCTAACCACCATCTTATAGAATTTTCCCTGAAATTTGAGGGGGAGTTTTCTATTACACAACCAGCCCAATACATTCCTCCACTAAAATAAAAAAATACTTGGTCAAACCATCTTGTGTTTGAACACGAGTAACAACTCATGCATACATATCCTTAATTACTTGAATATAAGCATTGTTAACTCTTTTCCTTTCTAAAACACTCCAGAGCACTTCTCTTGAAACTTTATCATATGCTTTCTCTAAATAAATAAATATCATATATATATCCTCATTATTCTCTCTATACTTCTCCATCAAACCTCTCAATAAATGTATGACTTTCATAGTAGACCTACGAGGCATGAATCCAAATTGATTTTGAGAAACCTTAGTATCATGCCGTAACCTAAGCAACAATTAGTCTCTCCCATAGTTTTAATGTATGACACATTAACTTCTTTCCTTTATAACTCGCACACTCTTGAGCGTCACCTTTATTCTAAAAAATATGAACCAACACACTCCACTCATTTGGCATCTTTTTAGTCTTCAAAATAAAATTAAAATTTTCATAAAAGAAATTTTATCATCTTCTAAACATTTTCACACCTCTAATGAAATATTATCACGCCCAACAGCTTTTCACATTTCATTTTTCTTTAAAGTCTCTCTACCTCAACTGTATTAATATGATGATAAAAAAAATCTTTTTTTTATTTAAGGTGTTAAAGTCACTAAAGTTTATTGTATTCTCACAATCTTCATTGAAAAGCTTATTAACAAATATCTCATCCATCTTTATTAAATATCCTCTTATAATAAAAGAGTACAACAATAGTGTTTTTGACTAAAGGAATATAAAATATGGGAGTGTATCCGCATAAAACAAACAATAAAGTGTTCAACAAAAGAGTTTTGTTTAATTTTATATTATAAGAAATGTTTATTGGTCCTTTTGCATACAAAATAATAGAATTAAGTTATACTCAAAATGTAAGAATACCATAACAAATAAATGACATACACGTAAAAGAAAAAAGTATCTTAGAGTAGCATCATCGTAGATACACACCAGTTCAACAATCATTGGTGATTAAATGTTCCATGATAAAGATGTTAAATAACAATGTGTCTATAAATGACACATCAGGTGCAACGTTTGTAGTGGGGTAGGTTTCTATCAAATATCAAAAATTCATATCCCAAAGGCAAGATATTCATCTTCAATTTAACAATCATTTTTGAAACTACGAACCCCACCTATTGAAAACTCTTATCTCAAAAAAAAAAAAAAAGAAGCTATTTTTGAAAAGCATAGTCATGCAATCACTTACATTAAACTGCGCATCAAGATCAGCCTGCCCTTCAATAACCTCAATAAGTTCTTGGATACGCTCTGGAGGAGCGTTATCCCCAAATATGCTAAAACTTTTAAGGAAATCCACAAACATTTTAAATTCTGCACCTGTAACATCCTGCAAACTCTGAGAATAAAAAGGACTATCCATTAAAACCATCCGAGCAGATAATATGTAGATTCAAACCTAAAGTAACTGCTTCTAATGAACAAAAATAAAATTGAGCCTACTTTTTTCACCAAATCGGTGACACGTCTTTCCATCTCAACTTGAGGCTTCAGCAGTTCAGCTTTGAGAGGAAACACCTAGGGCATGTTTTAGCATTTAAGAAAATAAAGAAAAAAGACAGACAAAAGACAATATAACACACAAATTAATACAAGTTGTACCTTTTCTTTAAGGAAAGCAATAACTTTTTCACGGATGTTTTCCATGCCTATCTCAACATGCTTAAATAAAGCTGTTAAAGATGCTACACAATTAAAATTGTAAATTAGATGACAGGATAATAAAAGTTAACATAGCTAAATTTAAAAGAATCAACTATGCTTGCAGAACATTTTGAACCATTCCAGATTGAGAAAAAGAAATTTCATAGTAGCTTTAAAAAGAACTATAGATTTAATGTTTTAGCCGAAGCCATATATCATACTATCCAGCAAAAACTTGAAATCTAATCCAGATATGTAAACTGCCTCATCCTTGTTTGCAATGCGACACAATATAAGTTTTAATTTATAGCAAGCATGCAACTGATATTACCGGGCATGGAAAGATCAACCGGTTGTATTGATATCTATGAAATAGTTTTACTATGATGATCATATAGCAGACACATGTCAAAAAAATTTCTCATAATATAATTTGATAAGAGTGTCATGATTCGCTTAAATTTTGTGATTTGCAATACCTCCTAATTTGTGTAGCACAACAATGGAATATGCATGGCGTTGTAATGAACTAAAATAGCATACTCTAGCCCCATCTTCCATTGTTCCATCTCTCTTGCTAAACAGTGGAGTAGAGAATCCAACAAAATAACAACAGAACATAACATACAGCAATCATGTGCCAAGGATGCACATAACAGTGAATGCAGCACAACAGGAAGTAGTTTTTGAGGAAATAATGAATATTTCCCAACTAACATACAGAAATTATACGTGCCAAGGGGTGCACATACCAGTCAATGCACCACAACAGGAAGTGGTTTTTAAGGAAATAATGAATATTTCCCCGCAGATTAATATGCTACTCCAATTTCATAATAAAAAGCGTAACATTTACATGAGGGATGCTTTAATCACAGATGTTTTTTTCTAAATTTGTTAACTAAAAATAAATTAGCAAATTCAAAAAGTGGTCTTTGGGATTGACTTATACAGCCAGTCCCATAACATAAGCCTAGAAATTTATCATGTGAGACCCAGTCAGGCTGCAGAATTACTTTAAGAAACCCAATAAAGCTGTTCAGGTTAAAGTTACAACTCCCTCAATGGATTCGGATTAACAAACACCTAAAACCAACTTCTTTGCTTCAATTTTCAATTCCAGTGCTAAGGTAAACCAAAGCAGACAAACTTTGCAACAATGACACAGATTAAAACAAATCCATCTAAGGCTCTACATTGAAATGTATCAAAAGTAATTACAAGCTTATTTCTGATGTGAGACAATGTAGAAGTTGTGGAATTGCAGGAATTTAATAAAATTTGTAAAGCTTATCAATTTTAAAATTAATGTTTCAATTCTAGGATTTCTTAGTGGTTGTTTTGCTTTGGCATGCGGTTACAAAATAAATTAGAAGGACAATTAAAATAACATCAAAATTATAGTAAAGCTAGATGCACAAGTAACAAAAATCCACCGGTTAACAATTAAAGAAATCACCTTGAGTTTCCCTCACTCACACTCTTGAGGGCTTTAGCAAAAGAATAATTTGCGCAACAATAATGATGCTACCAAAATAAAGAAGGCGCTTACAGTTTTACTCAAGGAAGGGTTAACCGAAAAAGAGGAGGTCGGTGGATGATGGAGGATTTGCCACTGGATGGGACGTCGATGTTTGTCGAGAGCTGTAGTCAATGAGAAGAAGATATGGGCGATGTAGTCTTCGACGGATTGGTCAATCTCCCAATTGATGTTAAAGAAAGGGGAACAAAGAACATCCACTAATCCTTGATTATCCTAGATGAATCCATGATCATGCTCGGGATCGGCCATAAATGGATAAGTAGGCCGAGGGGTTGTGTATCTTCTTCCTTGGTGGTGTATGAAGCAAGGGAGAGAAGATGGAAGGGGGGAGGGAGGGGTTTGGGTGGTCGACGAAGGCTGGGAGAGAGGCTAGCCTTAATTTCAAATTTTAGGGTTGAGTTGGGGAGGGGAAACCAATTTAAAAATCTAAAATTTAATTTCAGATTTCAAGGAGGGGAAGGAGGGAATAATTCGAAATTCAAATCTCCTCTAATTGGGAATATGTGGAGCGACACACCTTGATGGGAGGGGCTTTGATTGAAAGCAAGTGGGAGAGAATTAATTAGGAGAGAGGGAAAGAGGGGGGGGCGGCCAAGAGAAAGGGGAGAGGGATGGGGGGTGTCCACATTCAATGAATGTGTCTATATGCAATGAATGTGGAATATGGAATTAAATCCAATTTACTTTCAGATTGGTATCAATTAAAAAACTTCCAAAATTAGGTTTAGGCAAATTAGAAAATATTTTGAAATTCAAATTTACTTGAATTTGAATTAAGAGACTTTCCAAATTAATAAGGGCTATTTTAGGAAAGTAATAAAGGGCATTTCGAAATTGAAATCAATGGGATTGGGGAATGGGTTGGCCGGCGGCTAGGGCTTGGGAAGGTGTGGCCGGCGGTGTGGGAGGAGGAGGTTGGGGGGGGGGGACCGGCTGTTTTGATGGGAAAAAGAGGAGGCCGGCGGCTAGGGCTTAGGGTCGTAGGGTTCGGGGGGTGTAGGTGGAGGCCGGCAGTTTGAGGTGGGCGAGGGGGGAGGGGACCGACGGTTTGGGAGGAGGAAGGAGGCCGGCGGTTTGGAGTGAAGCCAAGGAGTAAGGAAGGAGAAGTAGGACGAAACCGAGAACCCACACACTTCCTGCATCTAGCGGGTGTTGCTCTTGCCCTCACCTAAGGACTTCACATCTCTCTAGAGCTTTCAACACTCAAGGGAACTAGAAGGATGAAATTTCATTAATCAATCATCATCCCAGTACAAAATGCTAGGGCCTTCATATATAAGCCTCAAGGAATAAAAGACACAAAGACTAAATTGCCCACAGGGCTACAACACGAACTAATCCCTCTCAGGGGTACAATTGTAAAAACTAGAACATAAACAAAAGAAATACATAAAATGCATCACAAGTAAAGACTCCTAATTATAGTCATCAATCTACGATGCCTCCTCTGATAGGCGCGTCAGAATCTTCTGCTGATGTCCTCATCATTCTCCCCGGGTGGAAAGCTCGACCCCGTCGAGTATGTGTCTCGGGAACTCTCGTACAACTCTAGAAGATTGGGGTCCAATCTTTGTAGCTCATCACAATCAACCCACGTATCCTCTATTTCCGATTTTCCTTTCCATTGAACTAAAAAGCTTTGGTGCCAACCTTCTTTGGTGGAAATGATTTCATCATGAACTATTGCTTCAATTTTCTCCACATTAGGTAAAGAAGGAATATTGGGGAGTGGAGGTAGCCTAGGGTACTTACCAGGTAGATTCACACAAGACTCATCATTTAGTGGATTTGTGGGATTAAACTCTGGTCCCTTAAAGGCTACTAGATCTTTGATGTTAAACGTAAATTTATGTTAAAACTTTCAGGAAGGTCTAGCACATAAGCATTACTATTTATTTTTTAAATTATTTTAAAAGGTCCCGCACTTCTAGCATGTAATTTTTTAACGATTCCTTGGGGGAACCATTCCGGACGAATCCAAACCATTACAAAATCTCCAACTTTGAATTATTTAAATCTTTTTCTGTGATCTGCATTATGTTTATAATTGGCATTGCTTTGTTCAATCTTTTTATTAATTTATCTATGCAATTCCTGGAGATGCGATGTAAATGCAGACGCAGACTCAGATGTTCTAACCTTGGGACACATAGGGATCAAGTTTATAGGCTGTCTAGGTTGGTAAAGTACACAATTTCAACGGGACTTAGACCCGTGGTTCGATTTACAGAGTTATTATAAACAAACTCAGCTATAGGAAGTTTGGAATTTCAATCTCGCACATATTCTCCTACCAAAGTTCTTAAGAGATTACCTAGACTTCTATTAACAACTTCAGTTTGCCCATCTGTTTGGGGATGAAAAGCAGAGGAAAATTAGAGTTTTGTACCATCTTATGTCACAAAATCTTTCAAAAATAACTATCTTGACATCTCAATCAGATATTATGCTTTTAGTAAGTCATGGAGTCTAACAATCTCATCAAAGTATAGTTTCTCAAATTAAGAAGCATCAATATTTTTGGAGCAAGAGAGGAAATGAGCCAGCTTAGAAAAACGGTCAACTACCACATAAATTGAGTCATGCTTTTTAAAGGTCTTAGGTAATCCAAGGACGAAATCCATGCTTACGTCCTGCCAAGGGAAATTGGGTATCGGGAGGGGTGTGTAGAGACATGTATTTTGTTTACGCTATTTAGCTAACTGACAAGTGTGACACATTTTCACCAATTTACTAACATCACGTTTAAGGCTAGGCCAATAAAATCGATGTTTAACATAAGCAATGGTTTTCGCTTAGCCAAAGTGTCCAGCTAAATCTCCTGTGTGTAATTCCCATACGAGGAATTCGCGTAGTGAAGTTTTGGGAATATAGAGCTTTTGTGACTTAAATAGATATCCATCTTCCAATAAGAAGTCATTGACTATATGTTTCCTTAAAGTCAAGGCAGTCTTTATAATCCTCCTTAATTCGTTTGAATCCAATTACTTCGGCTCTCATTTCTCAAGTTGTCATCACTCGACGACTTAATGTGTCTGCCGCTTTATTTTTAGAACCCGCCTTATGTCTGATCAGATATAGGTGTATTCTTACAGGAACTCAACCCAACGGCCATGTCGGGCATTCAGTTTCTTTTGGGAGTTAATGTAACGCAAAGCCTTATGATCAGAGAAGATTACAAATTCTAGCGGGAGCAAATAGTATATCCAATACCTAAGGGACTGAATGATGACATAAAATTCTTTGTCATAGGTAGAGTATCGCTGACTGATATCATTTAATTTCTCACTAAAGTAGGCGACAAGATGTCCTTCTTAGGAAAGGACTCCACCAACACCAATGTCAGACGCATCACAAGTCACTTCAAAAACATTAGAAAAATCAGGTAAGCGCGTGACAGGGGCTTCTACCATTCTCCTCTTGATTTCTGTAAAAGCTTTAGAGGTCAATGTGATCCAATGAAATTCTTCCTTCTTTAGACAATCAGTTATTGGGGCT